CATAGCAGGGAGCCAGGTATATAATCAACAGGCCCACTTGAACCCCCTGCCCCCACTTCACAAGGAGGGACTCTCCACCATCTATCTGAGGCACAGTGGTCTCCCTCGGACATAGATTCTCCCTTATAATGACCGCTACCCCACCGCCCCTACCCCGGGTCCTTGGCTGATGGAATACCTGGAAACCCGGCGGGCAGATATCAACGAGGGGCACTCCCCCTTCCGTGCCCAGCCAGGTCTCGGTGATACCTGCCAGGTCCGCACCCCCCTCTTGAATAAGATCTTGAATGAGGGGGGCTTTGTTCACCACTGACCTGGCGTTGCATAACATCAGCCGGTGATCCCGGGCCTGGGGATCTAAGTGCAGTTTAGTATAATCTTACAGATTATCTTCATCCATCTTTTAATTTCTGGTCTTTCATGAACTATTCCTTTCCAGATAAGCCAGTAAAGTTCTATTGGAATCTTAAATTCACCTTAATCTTATTTTCTGCCCACCTTTTATTGAATCTTGAATTTAAGATTATAATAATACACAAATCAATACTAGGCTATTGAATTGTCAGCCTTGCAATTTTATCCATGTTCCAATATTGTATCTTGAAACTGGCTGTTCATCTGCTCAGTAACATAAGTGCTGATCCCTATAAAACAATTCCCTAAATAGATATCTAGATTGTTTTTACAGCCCTATATACATTGAGACATTACTCTCTATGTTTGTGAAATGTTTGTTTCCATTATTAGCAAGCATTCTGCAGCTGGACCTCAAAAAATAAACATGAGGTCATAAACACTCCCTACAATATAAAGGCATCAACTTCTGTTATTATCTTGCATAGATTTATATCCTTTTCCTCCGGAAGAGAGACATGCAGTAAAGGTACGAGAAGGTGTAGGTGCTGTTCTTCTCTGTGATCCTCCACCTCATTATCCAGGTAATTAAATTTATATATTTCAGTTTCAATTGAAACAATGAAATAGGAATTAATATAATTAGAATACTATTAATGTTGACTGTGACTAGGTTGCCTAAGCCTCCTGAGCCTTATAAAAAAAGGAATTGTTCCTGTTTGACATGTGAAAATAAAATTCCTTACAGTATGGTGGTCTTCCTTCAGATTATAAAGATTATAAAGTAATTGAATCTATTTACTATTATAAGGTTTGATTGTTCAAAGTTGAAAACCATTAAAAACTTTCAGAAAATTACTATACCTATTTTACAAATGGAAATCTGTTTTTTCAGGTATTTATTTAATCTATTCTGTACTGTTCCCTAGCCTAAGCCTACAGTATGCATAAATATAGGTTACATGTCATATTTTTAAAAACTTGACAATTTAAGGAGTGTGGATTTCCACACCCACTTGCTGACATATGCACCATGGAGTGATAAGTAAAGTAAGAAAAGTTGTTCCAAAGTTCTAATAGCTGCCCCCACCCTTGCAGTCATGTGATCTCATTTGGGCACTCAGTAACCAGTTTGCATTTCTGGCTGTTTGCAATGTCCCATGATCATGTGACTGCTTTTTACAACATTTTTGCTGAAAACTGGCATTTACTTCCGTTTTTTTGCAAAAATGGCCCATTGCAAACAATGGATTCACTTAACAACCACAGTATTTGAATAATGCAATAAAGATAGTAAAGGTCATCTGCTTTGTGACCATTACGACTTATGACCGTATTGGGCAGGCTCCATTACGGTTGTAAATTGAGGACTATCTGTATAACCAAGAGCACTGATATTCACTGGTAATCCCTCATCCAAGACTAACCAGTGCTTATCTCACTTAGCTTCCAAGAGTGAACAAAATTAGCTAGGTATTACCATATTCTTTAAATGTCATCTCTATAATAAATTTAAATATATTTTTATATCTCCAGATGATCTAAGTTATCGATGGTTTCTGAATGACTTCCCAGAATTCATTACTTTGGATAAACGGCGATATGTGTCACAAACAAATGGTAATCTTTACATTGCCAAAGTTGAACCTAGTGATAAAGGCAACTATTCATGCTGTGTGACCAGTAATTCAATTACTAAGAGTGTATTCAGCAGTTTCATTCCACTTATTCCTCAAACAGATCGTAAGTATTCCTCTAAAGTCTTATGTTTGTCAGATGTTTTTCTTAAATAATGTCTCCTTTCCTTTTGTACATTTTATCCAGTTCAGTGAAACAGTATATGAAAGAAATGTTTGGCTTAGATTCTCTTTTCAGCTTGTTTTCTATTTCTGAATTTCAGATTTTAGACCTTATTTCATGAATTCAACTGTTTTGTTTTTGTTACCCAAAACTCTCTCTCTCTCTCTCTCTCTCTCTCTCTCTCTCTCTCTCTCTCTCTCTCTCTCTGTGTGTGTGTGTGTGTGTGTGTGTGTGAGAAACAGTGGGAGAGACACATAGAGAGAGAACACAATTGTAAATAATCAGGGAGCCGAGTTTGACTGTGGCATACCTTCAAATTTAACTTAATTTGCTTGACTGAATAATGTGTGTCTCAGAAATGTATGATATAAACCATGTAAACTATAAAAATAGAACTATATAAAAGGATACCAACAAAATTGCTTTTTCCATGTTTGGAAAATCAAATAATAGTTAATTTTCTCAAAACATTTTTTGGTTACCTGATAAGAAATAGATTATGTAAATGTTAAATGAAATATTGGGATTTGGTCAATTTTAAAGATTTTCCTATTCTGTTCTGGTTAAATGTTTCAACTTGCACATTATGTGAATTTATACAAGTCTATCAAGAAAGCAGTTAGAATTTCTGTAATCTCTTAGCCTCTAGTGTTGTCCCAGGTGTGGTAATGACATTTTATAAAAAGTTAAATCCATTTTTAACTGATAGTAGAATAAGTGTATGTGATCCTTTCTTCCTGCTTCCTACAATTATTTCATTTTAGAAATGCATTTCTGTTCACACTCTCTCCAAGTTTTTTTTAAAGGAAATAATATTTTCAAATATTATATGTGCTAAGTATTCATTTTCTAGCAAATTATTTATTTTATTACTTTTTCTTATTAGGATCAAAAGGCTATGTGCCAGATATCAGAGTGAAGTTCAAAGATACATATGCGCTTTTAGGACAAAATGTGACGCTAGAATGCTTTGCGCTTGGAAAGTACGTATGCTTGAATTTAATGATATACATGGCAAAATGTGGTCTATTTTGGCAAGAGATGATTAGCTTTATTCTGCTATCAGAAGTAATCCCAAAACATGAATTTGAAAGAGTTCTCAGTGCTCCCTATCACTCATTCTTTGCATTTAAGTCAGCTTTATATATAAACTTAACATGTTTCTCCTTCATGCATATGGCTCCCAATGTGGTATGGCTTAGCATTACAGCTACAAAAAAGCATCGAAAGTGACAATGAAATTGCCCTTAGTGAAAACTAGCCAAACATTCTCCAGTTTATTATCCAGTTATTATGAATTCAATTTATTTTGTGATTCAGATTCTTGTAGAAGAATATCATTAAAACAACATTGTAAAACCTGCTTACTTGACAAAGGGAAATATTGTTTTAATATATTATTGGCACTAGAGGTATGTACAGGTGATACAGAATTTACTCATTCTGTCTTAGACAAGTGAAGGAAGCAGATTGAGAAGGGGAAGGGTCATGTCAGTGGGCAATAAAAAACAGCTAAGTGAAATTTCAGCTTAAGAAACTCTCTCTTGTAATTATGAAACATGAAGAGGAAAGCAGAAGCTGAAGTGACCTAATAAATAAAAGATCCAACAGCTAATCAAAGCTGAATTAAAATATGCTCTGTTTTCTTTAAGCCCTGTTCCTGAGCTTAGATGGAGTAAATATCTTGAACCAATGCCAAGCAGTGCAGATATAAGCATGTCTGGTGCAGTCCTAAAGATCTTCAATATTCAGTTTGAAGATGAAGGAATATATGAATGTGAAGCTGAAAATTACAGAGGAAAAGATAAACATTCAGCAAAAGTGTATGTTCAAGGTAAGTAGAATTTCTTCATGCATTTCATTACTGAAAAATACATTTATACATATTTATCCCATATC